AATTCTGCGACGATGCCCATTACAACAATGAGTATTATGCGGCTGTGGGCGGCATCGGGCTGCAGGAGCTGAACGATCTCGAGAGGCGTTTCCTGCGCCTCATCAGTTGGCGGCTGCACATCACGGAGAAGGAGTATCATCGAATGGCCTTCGGGCCATCCCGCCACCGTGCCTGGGCTGTGGGTATGAAGCCTATTTGATGTTCGTTTGGATCTCGCGGGGGCGTTCTCAGGGGCAAGCCAATTTGACGCCTCGTGGGGGCCACTCTTGGGGCCTCTTTTGGGCCTCTTGGGGGCCTCTTGGGGCCTCTTGGGGGCCTCTTGTGGCTTCCTGGGCGCCTCTTGGGGCCGCCTGGGCGCCTCTTGGGGCGGACAGCCCGGATATTCGGTTCGTATTCCCTCTTTGGGGCCCTTTTCGGGGCCGTCTTGGGGGCCTCCTGGGCCGTTTTGGGCGCCTCTTTGGCTGTGTTGGGGCCCTCGTAGGCCGTCTTGGGGCGGTCTTGGAGGCCTCTTGGGCCGTCTTGGGGCGGTCTTGGGGGCCACTAGGGCCGCACGGGAAGCCGAAAAGGCGAGAACGCCCAAACCTTACAATTTCCGGAGGAGAATGAATAATTTTGGCCTCTTGGGGCCTCCTTGGGAGGCCTCTTGGAGGCCTCTTTGGGCGTATCGGAGGCCTCTTGGGCCGTCTGGGGGCCATCCTCAGCGTCTTGGAGCGATCGTTTGACGACTCTGTGCCCTCCTGCACCGTCCTGAGGGCGTCTCCGGGGATCCCCGGGTCCGTGATGGAGCCCTCCCTCCTTGGGCCCGAGAAAGCCACGCGCCACCACGCCGGGGACCCAGGGGGGCACGCGCCAAGCCCAGGGAGATTTGCAGATGCGGGGTCCCCCGGCCCCCCGAGAGACTCCTCGGGGCCGTGGGCTGAGGCTCCGGGGGACTGAGGGCAGAGGACCTTGAGGGCACGCCCACTCCGTGCCCAGAGGCACGGTGGCGGATTTTTACAGGGACCACGTGCTCCTTGATGCGGGTCGCACCTCTTAGAGAGCTAATTCGGCTCCGCTGGTGTTTCCCGCCCCCGTCGGTCGACAGTCGACCTGTTTTTTGTTCTCCCAGTGGAGATCTGCCTAGTCTGGTGCATGCAGCGGGTTCGCATCCATGCAGGTACCGGGGCGCAACAAAACATGTTCGTTGCTGTTTGATGTGATGTCGTGGTTCAGCGGTCTCATCTGTGTGTGCGTCTACATGCATTGCCACTACAAGCTACCGAGCCAGTTCTTGAGCTTCCATGGGAGTCCCTCCTCGGCCTCCTCCTCCTCCTCTTCATCATCCTCCTCCTCCTCCTCCTCCTCCTCCTCCTCCTCCTCCTCCTCCTCCTCCTCCTCCTCCCTCTCCGATGGCGGTGAACGAAGCAGGCATGCTGGCGGGCAGGAGTGGCCACGGATGGCGGAAAGGGAGCGGGGACGGAGAAACGTGGGGGCAGAGGTGGAGGACGGATGGGCGGCACACAGAAAGGAGGCGGACTGCGCAGACATTCGCGCGTAAGTTGCTTGCACCGGCGCGTGCTGTGCCGCGCTGTCGGCTTGCGTAGGCCGCCGCCTGAGGCCGCCAGTTCGTCGTCCGTCTGACCTGTTTGTGTTCGTCGTTGTTTATGTTTACGTTCGTCAGAAAGTCGAGGCAAATTGTATGTTGCGATGATGTTCATACTTCTTCTCCTCGGAGGCTAGCTCGCTCGAGAATGGCGAAATCTCGGAGAGGTTGAGTGGAGTGAGTGAATCACTCACCATGTACTTCCACAACTCTTCCCGATCTAAATCGGTGTTGTTGGTGAAGTCTGTGGCGCTGCTGTTCCATATTACGACATGCTGTCATGTGATCTGCGGTGTTCGGTGTGAGAATTATTTACCATGTGTTGCGATATGTTACCTTGGGATATGTTGGGATGTGGTATGGTATAATTTCAATGTTTTTCGTTGACGCTCCTACCATTCATCCATCTCCTCTTTCCCCGCCTCCTCCTCCTCCTCGCTCCTCTCCATCCCTCATATTCCTCCCCCCTGCTCCTGTGCTCACTTCCCTCCTCCTCCTCCTCCTCCCCCTCCTCCTCCTTCTCCCCCTCCTCCTCCTTTTCCTCCTCCTCCTCCTCCTCCTCCTCCTCCTGGTGGCGTGCTGCGCGGCCGCCTGCGACATGCCCTTCGTGCCGCACGCCCCCCGGCGGCCTACCTTCGGGCGCGGGCCGGGCGGTGCCGCCGCGAGGCCCGCGGCGGTGGCGGCTCCCACCGCCATTGCCCCAGGCAGGCCGACGACGGTGACGCAACGACGACGGCGACGACGACGACGAAGACGAGTGGACGACGACGACGACGACAACGACGACGAGTGGACGACGACGACGACGACGACGACGACGACGACGACGACGACGACGACGACGACGACGACGACGAGTCGCCGTTTCGACCTCGAAGGCCTCGGCGCGCAGTCGTGCCCGTCGCGGGCCTCGGCAGTGGCGGCGAGGCCCGCGGCAGTGGCGGCTCCCACCGCCATTGCCACAGGCAGGCCGACGAGAGGCCGTCCGGACCTCGGAGGTCTCGGCGCGCAGTCCACAGTGGACGCGTCATGCACTGGCGCCGTGCCCACATCCCGCCCACCTTACAGTCAACCCGCATGGTAAGGATGGGCAGCTTTCCCAAGGGTGCCCTCGCGTCCTTGCCTCGTCGGTCTCATCCTTGGCCACTTTTGTTGGCCGCGCTCCGCTCGAAAAGCTTCGACATGGGCGCCCAGGGCCCTTGCGTCCTTCTTGTGCATCCTCATGATACGGGCCGACTGTAGAGACCCATTGCGCACGAAGACACACACACACGCTTTTTGCGTCGGCGGCTGGGCAGATGTTACTGCTGTTACTGCTCCGGCGACGCGGGGCGCGCAAAATGCAGATTGGGCCGCGGTGCGCGAGGGAAGAGGAAGGAAGCCCGGCGCAGATGGGCTATACGCGCACACACACACACACGCACCCATACACACACATACACGCACACGCACACGCACACACTCACACACACACGCACACGCGCACACACGCACACACACACACACACACGCGCACACGCACACACACACACCCACACACACGCCCACACACACACACACACACGCACGCACGCACGCACGCACGCACGCACGCACACACACACACACACACACACACACACGCACACACGCACACACACACACACACACACACACACACGCACGCACACACACACACACGCACGCACGCACGCACGCACGCACACACACACACACACACACACACACACACACACACACACGCACGCACGCACGCACGCACGCACCCACACGCACGCGCACGCGCACACACACACATGGCGCATGCGAGCCAGCGGGGAAGGCTGCGCATGCGAGCCAGCGGCATCTCCGTCCTGTGCTGGCAGGCTGTCCAGCCCGGCGCGCGGACCTCGGCAGGCGGCAGATGTGGATGCCTTCGGGCCCCTGAGGGCTCGCTCGCTTTTCCTCCTCCTCCTCCTCCTCCTCCCTCCTGCCTCCTGCCTCCCTGTCCGCTGGCGTCGCAGGACGTCGGCTCCCAGGCTCTGACCATTCTCGGCCTCGCAGAAGATCTCGGCGCGCAGTTCTGCCCAGCGCGCGTCGAGGTCCTCGAGGTCTGGGGGGTTCTCCGCCTCGGGAAAAGCATCCAAGATCTGTGATCGGGGGCCTTGAGACGGGGGTCAATGCAAACGGGGGCCAGCCAAAGAACCGGATCTTCCAGGATCCTGCAGAGCTAGTGGCGCATTGACCCGGGCTAGTGCGCAGGATCTTGCATCGAAGAAGAAGAAGAAGAAGAATCGCCATACATATATTTGTTGGGCGATCCGCGCGGATTTCTTGGATCGGCGCTGGGCCCCCCGGCGGCGCCGGAGGTCCAAGAAATCCGCGCGGAGCGCTAAAAGTTTCTGTTTATGGCGTTTCTTCTCCTTCTATGGGTGGATCTTACAAGGCCTGACTGACCCGGGTCTGAATTTACATCGGGCATGTTTCTCTACAGAAAGAATATCAAAAAAATAGTCAAAACATAGTCTGTGGACGATCTTTCGATTTTTTGTGCGATTTGGGATTCTTTTTTGATCATTTTTCATTTTTCCTCCTAAATCTGCCTGCAGGGTTAAGTCGGGCGTGTCCCTCCACAGGAGGAATATTCAAAAATAGTCCAAAAATAGTCTGGGGACGTTTTTTGAGCATTTTTTGATCATTTTTGATTGTTTTGGGGGTACTCTTAATTTTTCGTCCACGATCCCCCTGTAGGACACGCCCGACTTAACCGTAGGTGGGCATGCCCGACCCGAGGATGGATCCGGGTCAGGAAGGGCCACGGTGGGAGCCTCGACCTGCTGCGCCAGAGGCCGCGGCGCGTCCACCTCCGGGGGTCACCCTCGAGGGGCCCGGGGAGGAGGAGGAGGAGGAGGAGGAGGAAGGAGAGGAGGAGGAGGAGGAAGAGGGGAGGAGGAAGAGGAGGGAGGAGGAGGAGGAGGAGGAGGAGGAGGAGGAGGAGGAGGGGGAGGGGGAGGGAGGGAGGATGAGGAGGAGGAGGGAGGAGGAGGAGGAGAGGAGGAGGGGACAGAAGGAACATAAGCAAAGGAGGAAGATGAGGGGAAGCACGGAGGTGTGTGAGAAGGAGGAGGAGGAGGAGCAAGAGCAGCAGCAGCAGCAGTGACAACATAACGAGCTGGAGAAGGGTGATGATGATGAGGAGGAGGAGGAGAAGGATTTTTAGCACGAGGAGGAGGAGGAGGCACATGACGAGGGGGAGGAGGACGAGGGAGGGGGGGCGCGGAGAACGACGACGAGCACGAGAGCCGGCGCAGGGGGACGAAAAGCAGCGGGGGAGCAAGAGGGGAACAGCAGCAGCAGCAGCAGCAGGACGAGGACAAGGACAAGGACGAGGAGGGAGGAGGGAGGCCGGGCGTCACACCCGCCGCGGGTGCCGGCCAGGATGTTGAGGCGCGAGGCCAGGGAGCGCGCGCAGCGGCTCAGTACTGAGGATGCGTAGCCGCCCTCCGCCTGCCGGGCGGGGAGGAGGAGGAGGAGGAGGAGGGGGAGGAGGAGGAGGAGGAGGAGGAGGAGGAGGAGGAGGAGGAGGAGGAGGAGGAGGGGGAGGGGGAGGGGGAGAGGGAGGAGAAGGAGGAGAGGGAGGAGAAGGAGAAGATGGAGACGGTCGTCTTCGGACTGTGGCATGAGCGATGTGCTGTGCTCCGTATGAATGACTGCCTCGTAGAGCAGAAAAGAGGAGGAGGGAGGAATGAGGAGGGACGGAGGAGGCCCGCACTTGCATAGGCCACGAGCGTGCAGCTTGAAGAGCCGAGCCGAGCCGACGAGTGGGGATGAGGGAGCAGGGCGGGCATGAAGGAGGGAGAAAGAGAGAGAGAGAGAGACAGAGAGAACAACAACACAAGCAATGTAAAGCACCACCAAGCTGTTGAGAGAGAGAGAGAAAACAAACAAATATGTGTATATATACATCTATAAATGTGTAGTGTAAAGTTTTGTGTATGTATGTGTACACCTGTGTATATATATACTACCTGCACATGGTCCATACCTAGGTTCTGCCTAGAAGGGTTCTTACTCTCTGGGCTTAAAGGGGCCGGGCAGTGGAAAGCGCCCCTGGCGGTTCCCCCAGTATCCACCCCGCGGTTCCCCCAGTTACGTCCCCTTAGCGTTGCTTATCTCATCTTAGCTTAGCTTATTTCATCTTAGTTTAGCTTTCTTCATCTTAGCTCAGGTTTATCTTAGCTTAGCTTACCTTCATCTTAGCTTCGCTGAGCTTTAGCAGAGCACAGCATAGCATAGCATAGCGTAGCATAGCATAGCGCAGCATAGCATATCATAACATAGCCCAGCATAGCATAGCATAGCATATCATAGCATAGCATACCATAGCCAAGCATAGCCAAGCATAGCATAGCATAGCGCAGCATGGCGCAGCATAGCATAGCATAACATAGCGCAGCTTAGCATAGCATAGCATAGCATAGTTTGGCATAGCACAGCGCAGCATGCCATAGCATAGCTTAGCATAGCATAGCATAGCATAGCGCAGCATAGCATAGCATCGCCTAGCATAGCATAGCGCAGCATAGCATGGCATAGCATAGCATAGCATAGCAACTCATGCTGCTTTCCTAGGGGCTCCAACTTCTAGGTACGGTCGCACTGGGGTAATTTTGGTTTCTAAGGGCAATCTTCACACGTAGGATGGAGGGTCACGGATCTGGTCGCTATCGGTTGGTTTTGGGGCAGCGTGAGAGTATACAATCTGATATACGAATAACACTTGGGGAGGAGAGGCTGAGCAGTACAGGAACAGGAGGAGGAGGAGGTTGAGGAGGTTGAGGAGGAGGATGCTGAGGAGGAAGAGGAATACGAATAACGAGAATATTACGAAGACAAATTATAATAGCATTAAGATGAAGAGTAAGACAATTAAACGTGATAATCAGAGTAATACGACGTTGAATAATAAAACGCATAAGAACAAAAATAGCATGAAGAGGAAACTGAATCATAAGAGGAGGATGAGGAGGAGGAGGAGGAGGAGGAGGGAGGAGGGAAGAGGGAGGAGGGAGAAGGGCGGTGGGAGGAGGAGGAGGCAGGAGGAAGAGGAGGAGCAGGGAGAAGAGGGAAAAGGGGAGGGAAAAGGGATGAGGGAGGAAGGGAGGAGGAGGAGGGAAGATGACGGAGGGGAGGAGGGAGGAGGAGAAGGGGAGGAGGGGAGGGGAGGAGGGGAGGCGGAGAGGAGAGGAGGAGGAGAAGGAAGAGGATCTGGACGAGGGCGATAACGAGAATGAGGAGGATGATAAAGGAAGGGGGAGGAGGAGGAGGAGGAGGAGGAGGAGGAGGAGGAGGAGGAGGAAGAGGAGGAGGAGGGGAAGGAGGAACCGAACTGGAGCGGGAGCTGGAGTTGGAATTGGAACTAGACCTGGATTTGTACTTAGACCTGGACCTGGACCTGGACCTGGAGCGGGCGAGGGTGGAGGAATATGACGAGGACGAGGAAGATGACGAAGGTGTGGAACAGGAGGAGGAGGAGGAAGAGGTGGAGGAGGAGGAGGAGGAGGAGGAGGAGGACCAGTGTAAATCCAGGAGCCACCATCGATGTTGGAATACAACTCCGTCTCACAGGCCCTTACAAGTCGGAGGTGAGGGGGTGAGATCGAAGTGGAACGGAGAGCCCCCCTACCGGGAAATTGATTTTGGTTTCTTTCGTGTTCGTGCGTGCCGTGCGGGCGAGGCGAAGCTGCGTGGGCGGGCGAGAGAAAGTCTCCTGTGGCTGAGGCGCGGCCGGACCAAATGATTCCCTTCCGGGCGGCCGGGGCCCCGCGGTGTCCCGCTGGTGTCCCGCTGGTTTCCCGCGTGGCTGAGGCGCGGCCGGACCAAATGATTCCCTTCTGGGCGGCCGGGGCCCCGCGGTGTCCCGCCGGTGTCCCGCTGGTGTCCCGTCGGTGTCCCGATTATGGTGATGATATTGATGATGATGATGATGATGATGA